CAATGAACAAAAATATTTCGTTTAATTCAGATTAACATTTTTCAGTAACGTCTCAGACTGTATATAATGCTACTAAAATAACAGTTATCAAACATAATATCTTTCGGTTATCTGTTAGTGACAGTAAAATACAAATGTAAGCTGGATAATTTTTGCACTTATAAATTTAGAATTGGTTGAATATCCACCGTATGGTAGTGTAACCACACTTTATGAGCTGATACAACGAGCTGTAAGTTTAACAGAAAATGCTGATTTTATTGGTGAACAAGATACCAATGCTGTTTATCAATGGATTAAATATGCTGATGTTAGTCTTAGCAACTATTTGTTTTTTCCTCCTAATTGCTTCTTTATATCATTTTTGCGAAAAAAAAAAACAACACATTTTAACAGGTTATTAAAGCGGCAGAAATTGTTGGATCGGCATTGCTAAAATTAGGTATTAATGCCGGCGAAACAAGTCGAGTTGGTCTTTCCGGGCTAACATCAGCCCGATATATCATTGCACACTATGCAATGATTAGCTATTCAATGGTTGCTGTACCATTATATCATAACTATAAACTTGATTTACTATGGTTAGTATTGCAATCATAATTAAAATGTCAAATATAACAAATTTGTTTTTGCTAATAATTTTCTAAATAATCTGCACTGTTTGTTAATGTATAAAGACAACTAAATTAACGGTTTTAAAGTTTAAAAATTGATCAGAAAAAAAATCTAATCGTTATTTGATCTATAAACATTTACTTGTAAGTTTTGAACGATCAGTCAGTTGCAAATATACGTTGACTCTACAAATCTGCAAAATATCTCAGTTAATCGTCAGCCTTAACAGCCATATTTGCTTTCAAAAGTTACAAATTATCAGTTTGAACACTCTTTAACTGTGGTTCGCCTAGAAAGAAAAATCTTTTTGAAAAACACTTTAGTAAATCACTAGGCTTTTTTCTGTAAGCAGAACAAGAAAGAAGCTGAAGTGGCTGATATATATATATA